GGGGGGGTTGGGAAAATTCGACCGGTTGATCTTCGAACGTCAAGGCAAAGTTATGCCTCTGCTCACCGATCGCTGCTCGATCGTTACAGACGGGGTCGTGCTGATTGACCCAGACTACGTGAAGGATCGCAAGGTCTTCGGCCACGTTCTAGCCGCGTTCAAGTACGGCAGGGAGGACCTGGACGTTCTGGGGCTGACGTTCCGCAAGGATCTCTATCTGGCCGCCGAGCAGATCTACCCGGTGGTGGCCGGTGGCCAGCAGAGGAAGCTGACACGGTTGCAGGAGAAGCTGATCAAGAAGTTGGGGAACAACGCGTATCCGTTCTACTTCGAACTTCCGCCGCACTGTCCCGCGTCGGTGACGTTGCAGCCAGCGCCCGGCGACACTGGCAAACCATGCGGCGTCGACTACGAATTGAAAGCGTTCGTAGGTGAGACGCAGGACGACAAACCGCAGAAACGGTACGAGCCTTGATTATCGCGATCGTCGCGGGCAAACGTTTACCCACCACGCGATTCCCTCCACCCTCGCCTCTAGATCGATTCCCAGCCACGTCTGACGACGTGTTTGTTTCCTTCCTTTGAAACCCTTCAACAAACGCGAATTTGTTTCCCGTCTGACGGAAAACAGGCTAGCATGCAGAAATCTGACTGAATCTTGAAAATCTAAGCGATACATTGTGATTTTACTACATTTTATACTAACGTGTGAAATAACGATTAAATTGGGTGAAATTACGATTAACGATTCTTGACGAAACAATGTTCATATTTATACAATGAGCTATTAAATAACCTATCTTCTGTCTGAACTCTACCTGATATCCATTGAAATCGACGATTTTGAAAAGCTCGTCAAATTTCTACGCGCGCTTCAGCCTGTGCTACTTCTCGATTCATTCGAACACGTGTGCAAAAATGTGAACAAAGTAACGTAGATCTTGTCGTCTCGCGTAGAAAAGAAAAGAAAAGAAAATTCGTCAGAGATCTGACGTTGTTTGTCCCCCCGAAGAGATCTCGAGGCGTAGACTGTCGCAGCGTGGGCAAACGATTTGCAA